CTTGTGGCATTTTCAAGGCTATTATTCTATATTTTTATTAAGGAATTGGATAGAAAGTATGCTTTTAAAACTTGCATATGGCACCAATCTGGGAGGGGTTGCAAACACTTTTGAGTACAGGATCAGAATTCAAAATGACCTTGACAAATTGGAGAATTGGTCTAAAATCAACAAGAATAAATTCAATAAAGACAAGTGCAAAGTTCTTCTCTTACCAAGAAAAAATAAAATGCACAACTACAAAATGCGGAATCACTGGCTAGATGCATGTTGTGAATGAGAGGAATATTCACATTGTGTATTGGCTCCAGGTCCTTATTTCTGGGTAGCACTTTTGCCTTTCTCTAAGGTACGTGAGGGAAGACAATTGGGTTTGGAATATCTGCAGCTGATGTATTGATCTATAGTTATAAATTGCTGAACAAGCCTATTTAGGAGCCAAATTGTGAGTTACTTATAAGTGTTTAATCAAGCAAGACTTTGGTTGGGTCAGACTGGGTTCTCAATAACACCAGAGTCAAGCTGAAGTCATAGGAGTTATTTTGGCTTCATCCCTGAGATGAGAATTTCCTCCACTGTGAGTTTTGCCTGAGTAAATAGAGTAAAAGCTGTCCACCCTATTGTACCAGTTTTAAAGTGGTGTATCCCCACTAATATCAGTGGAGTTGCGGTAGCATAAAACTGGCATAATGGAGAGGATAATATAGCTCAAGGACTTCAAGAAAAAAACCCATTCTGGTTATTATTTCTTGTTCACATGCAACATTTGAATGAGAATTATGCACAATGCAGACCTCTGCTTTAATCTTTATTGCTATGGTCTTGTCTTGCCTATGCAATGCTCTTTCCATTTCTACCTCTATAAGTAATCTTGGAAGGATTAGATTTTTATCAGTAAATATTGGCAAATGTTGATTTCACCATGCACACACAAACCAACAAAAAAATATTTCCTTCAACAATCAATATTTCCAGTGAGGCAAAGTAAGAAAAGTGCTGCTTGAGAACTTATGAGTGTTTGATTTAAGGTTATTGACTTTGTGTATTTTGACGTCATGTTGAAACGTTCGGCTTTCACAGTTCTTAAGTTTTAGCGTTTTGAATCTCGACATGTACTGACATTAAATAACTATTGTCTGCTCCCTCCATAATTTCCTGCAACTTTGAAAATGTAAACTGATAATATTGATGGTTATAATTAATCGTTTTTATTTTATCAGTCAAAATAATATATATAAAAATTAAATTCTGCCAAGCCCATGTATAAGATAGTATTGTCTATGGTCAAGAGTCCTATTCACATTTTATTTTGAAAAGTAGTATCTAAAGGAATAAATGTCAGCTAAAACACAAACCCACTTTTAAGCTTTTGAGTAATGCACCTTCTTGCTTTCACCCAATTTGCCCCATCACATGGGAAGAGCCATGTGTAAAAATGTGTAAACATTCACAAAGTTTGCTGCATCAGAGACTAAATGGAACAAATTCATCCTGATGTTTATCCAATGTAGCTAAAAAAGAGACTCTGAGGATGACAGAGACAAGAAGAGATAAAGAACTAATTACACAGAGTTGAAGTCAAAGACACCACTCACTTGCATTGGGTTAAAGGTAGAGAACCTCAATTGACTTCAATAGACTTACTCCACACTAAGTCAGTATAAATTAAACTAGAGTTTGGCACAGAGAGACAGAGTAAAATTTAACTTCCTTAGCTGACAGAAGAAGTTTTAAGTATTAATTTTCAGAATTTCAAAGAAATAAGTAAAAATTCAATTGCAATAAGCCCTAAACCAGGGACTTTCAAAAATGGGCTGAATTTGGGAATAAAGGCTTGTTTAGATAGTGAATTATTCTGGAGTAGCTATTCCAGCTGAACTCCCTGTACGGATGCTCTTATTCCATAATAAGAGTACTTTATTCTGAATTAGCTTAATCCATTTAGATCCAAAGTCTTCTGACTCCCACTGGAAGTCAAGTGTGGTGACTAAGACTGTAAGGGGAGTCTGGACTCACCCCTGTGGTGCCTCCTGCTGGTCGTCCAGGGAATTAGTTCACCAGCCTCTGGAGCACCCTCTGCAGGGCGGTGATCCGCCTTGTCCTCTGCACTGGCCCTGTGTCCCTCCCAGGACCCCAGTGCCCCTTGCTCTGGGTGCTGCCCCCTGGCAATACCCACACATGCTAGGTCTCCCCTTCCAGGGGAACCCCCACTTACTAACCCCACCTCACCTCAGGATAAGGCCACTACCAGTCACCATCTAGCCCCCACTCTCTGGGGCAGACTGCAGTATAGGCCACTCATCATTGGCAAGGTTGGGTTTGGACCTGCTGCCTTGGACCAGCCCTGGGGTGCCCTCTGCAACCCCCAGTACCCCTTGGCCTAATACTAGTCCGCAGCCTGGGGCTTTCCAGGCCAGAGCTCCCCAGCCTTTCCCAGTCCTGCTCCACTATAGGTACCCTGTGTCTAGCTCCCTGCAGCCAGGCCCTTCTCTCTCTGAAGGCAGAGAGAGACTCCTGAGCTACCCGGCTCCCAGCCTCTTATATAGGGCCAGCTGGGGCCTGATTGGGGTATGGCCCAGCTGTGGCTACTTCCCCAATCAGCCCAGTAGCTTTTCCCTTTGCCCCAGCCAGGGCTGTTTTAAACCCCTCAGGTAGGACTGGGTAGCCACCCCACTACAAAGACCCTTAGGACTCGGAAACTCCCAGACTAAACCTTCACCGTCCATCTTCTGCCTGACAAGAGCATCTAACTTCCCACATGTGTATCCTGTCATAGTGACCTTTTCCTGGCTAAAATTGGCCCTTTAAAATTGTCTGTGGATGTCTGGTTGCATGACTGAGAGCTCTGATTTGGACACGATGCTCATGACAATCTCTGTATCAACCATACCTCTTCTGAGCGTAGTTACATGACTACAGAAAACAGAGCAAAGGTTGCACTTTGCTGTCCAGCACCTTGCTCAGAATTTTGGAAACTTGGACCTTCAGAACCCACTCTCATTGACTTCAATGTGCTTGGGAGTAGGACCCGAAAGGGCAAGCTACAGCCACATGAGCTAAAGGAGTAGCTCATTCACTGATAGTGATAGAAGGCTCGTGTCATCTGTGTGGACCAGTCACTTACAGAAGGTCATGATTCACTTAGCCAGTGAGTTACAGGGAGATAGTTCCTCACCTGGTGGAAACTGGCAGAGCTCAACTGGAGTCAATGGAGTTACAGAAACTTACACCCTTTGGGGATCTAGCTTATTGACTTAGATGTATCTTTACCAATTTACAGCAGTTGGGGATCTGGCCCATTGATTTCAGAGGAGATACACTGATTTACACCAGATGGGAACCGATAAACTAATCCTTCCATGCCTAAGAATAGATTATTCATAAATTGTGTTTGGAATAATTTTGAAAATCATGGTCTTGTGTTGGTACAGTTAACAGAGAGAAAAAGAAATATATGAAATATATTGAATAAATAATTCAGTACAGCATCCCTAGCTCTCCTTTTCTTCTGGGATTAGCCAGAGGACCAGATAAAGGGATCACCCAGATTCTACTTCTCTAATTCGTGATAGCTCCATTTTGTTTCAACCTAACCAAATAGTGTAGGGTTATTCAAATTCTTTTCAAAGTCATAAGCCTACTGACAGCTTTTCTCAGGGCTTCTTTTACCTCTCTGTTTCTCAGACTGTATATGAGGGGATTGATCAGTGGAGTCATGACCGTGTAGAAAACAGAGATCTCTTTGTTTAGGTCTCTAAAGGTGTTGATTCTTGGTAACATATAAGCAATAGTTAGAGTCCTGTAGACGACTGTCACCATGATGAGGTGAGAGGAGCAGGTAGAAAATGCTTTTTTCCTGCCGGTAGCAGAAGGGATTCTCATGATGTTGGAGTTAATAAAAACGTAGGATGTCACAGTCAGTAGAAATGGAGGTAAGGTGAATATAAAGGCCAGGAGTGAAGCTACAAGTTTCATTGTATAAGTGTCACTGCAGGAAAGGTCTATCACTGGGGTATAGTCGCAAAAGAAACGGTCAATTTTGATGAGGCTGCAGAAAGTGAACTACATGATCAAAAGAGTAATAAGAAAGTAGCTAGCAGTCTGATGATCCAAGAGCCAGCTGCTAGTTAGAAGCAAAACCTGCCATTCATAAGGGCTGCTTAATAGAATGGTTTACATATCATCAAATAACGATCATAAGACATCACAGATAAGAGACAACATTCTGTAGCTACTAAGTAACCAAAGAAAAAAAATTGTACAAGGCAGCCATTGTATGAAATGGTTCTGTTCCCAGTCAGGAAACTGGCCAGCGCCCTGGGCAGGATAGTTGAAGTGTAGTAGGTCTCCAAGCAGGACAAGTTCCCCAGGAAGAAGTACATAGGGGTGTGAAGGTGCTGATCAGCCACAACTAATGCAACAGTAAGGATGTTCCCAACCATGGTCACAATGTAGATCACTAGAAACAGCATGAAGAGAAGAAAGTGCAGCTCCTGGAGATTCCCAAATCCCAGGAGGATGAATTCCATGATGAACATTTGATTTCCCTGTTCTGTCTTTTCCATGGGAATTACCCAAATTAAGTAAAACAAATTCTGCAATATAATTTCAAAAATATAAAGTTAACTGGCAATGCAGTGTAATCAACTGGATTCCATACCTTTCAAACGACACCTTTCCCAGGTGGTTATACACCTAAAAAATTGTGTTGCTCTAACACATTCTTCACCCACTAAAGGGAAGTTTTGCCACTGATTTTAATGAGAGCAAGTTTTTACACTTAAGGCTTGGAATTTCTATGCTGGCTAAGGGAGTTAGGTGCCCAGCTCCACGGGATTTGAACATCTAATTTTCTTTCTTTCTTATATTTATGAAATAGGATAACAGAGAAGGTCCTCTCATGGATCAGTAACTGGTTAAAAGACAGGAAACAAAGGGTAGGAATAAATGGTCAGTTTTCAGAATGGAGAGAGGTAAATAGCGGGGTTCCCCAAGGATCTGTACTGGGATATATGCTGTTCAACACATTCATAAATGATATGGGAAAAGGGGTAAACAGTGAGGTGGCAAAATTTACAGACTATACAAAATTACTCAACATAAATAAGTCCAAAGATGACTGTGAAGAGATACAAAGGGATCTCAGAAAACGGGGTGACTGGGCAAGAAAATGGAAGATGAAATTCAACATTGATAAAAGCAAAGTAAGGCACATTGGAAAAGGTAATCCCAACTACACATATATAACAATAGGTCTAAATTTGTTCTTACCGCTCAAGAAAGAGATTTTGGAATCACAATGGATAGTTATCTGAAAACTTCAGGTCAATGATCAACAGTGGTCAAAAAGGCTAACAGAATGTTAGGACCTATTAGAAAAGAGAGAGAATTAGACAGAAAATATCATAATGCCATTTTATAAATCCATGATACACCCACACCTTGAATACTGTGTCCCATTCTGGTCAACCCATCTCAAAAAAAGGATATGTTACAACTGGAAAAAGTTAAGAGAAGGGCAACAGAGATGATCAAGGGTATGGAACAGCTTCCATATGAGGAGAGACTAAAAAGATTAGGGCTCTTTAGCTTAGAAAAGAGACAACAAAACGGGAAAAGGACGGAGGTGTGTAAAATCATGACTGGTGTGGAAAAAGTGAATAAAGAAGTGTTATTTATCCTTTCCCTCAATACAAAAACCAGGGGTCACCCAATGAAATTAATAGGCAGCAGGAAAAGGAAACGTGGGCCACGGGAGAGCAAGGTCAAAGAATCAGGGTGAGAGACTGCAAGAGGGAGAGGTCACTCAGCATGGAGCAGCCTCATGGGGAAGGGGGGGAGGTGTCATGCCCACTTTGCTGAGCCCAGATGGCCCCAAGAGCTGTGGACAACCCCAGGGCCTCAGACCTCAGCCCAATGGCCTGGAGTGGTGAGGAAACTGAGGCAGGGATGTGCATTTAGTGTTTATTGTTTTGTATGAGCTGTACTCACTGTGCTTTAACATGATTAAGTATAAAAGAGCATAAAGGTGTCAGACTCTATACCAAGTGTGTGAGCACTGACTGTTTCACCAATGCTGTGTGCCCCTAAGAGATCTAAAGTGTAAATCAGAAGCTTCACCCCTTTGGGAAGGTGTGCTGGGAGAGGGGTGTGTTTACGTAACTGAGGTATCTTGGGGATCAGCGCTGGTCCTGGAGGCCTAGGGCAGGTGGGCTGAGGACCCCACTGAGAGTTGGCATCCAGGAAATATTCTAGAGAGGCCAAGGGAGGAACCAATGCTGCAGATTGCTGAGGATCTAGATGCTTAACACAGTCCAAGGGATCCGGCACAGCAGAGGCTCGGATGAGCCTCACAGCAGTCCTAGTGGCTGGCAGGAGCACTTACTAAGGTCTGTGACAGGTCCCCAGATCTGACCATCCCCGTGCTCATACATCTAATTTCTATATCCGAGATCTACACACCCACTGTTTTAAAAATCTGTATCTGACCTATGAAGCTCAGACTTACATCTTCCTGATACATACATGACACCTGCCATCTCATCTGTGAGAGACCGAGTCATGACAAATAATGAGAGAGTGGACTTTGAGCTTACTGGCCATGAGTCAACACCTTGCTGCAAAGATTTTAGTGGGGTTACATCAGTATAAAATCACAGACAGTTATGATTTGTGCTCACTGTATGAAGGTGTGTAAAAGTAATATGATTGGTAGCAGCTGCATAGCTGGAAATAAATCTACAGTTGGTGTTACATGAGCATCTTCCTTTCCTCATGAATGGAGAATATTTCAACTACACCCACTGGAGTCCAGGGTAAGGACACTGAGTCAGTAGAATTACACTGGTGCTAATGTGGAGATAATCAATGCAACAGTAGTGTAAGTGGGAGGAGAATCAGACCGTATAATAACATTATCCAGGTAATCAACCTTCATGGTGTAAGGAAATTGTTCACAGGAGTCAAGAAGAAGCAGTTTCCACCCCACACACCATGAGTGGGAGGGATAGCTCAGTGGTTTGAGCATTGGCCTGCTAAATCCTGTGTTGAGAGTTCAATCCTTGAGGGGGATCAGTACTTGGTACTGCTAATGAAGGCAGGGGGCTGGACTCAATGACCTTTCAGGGGCCCTTCCAGTTCTATGAAAGAGGTCTGGTGCTCCTCTTACTTACAAGAGTTTTACACAAGTGTAACTGTGAGGACTTCACTGGAGTCACTCATAATTTACACCAGCATAAGTGAGAAGTAGATTTGGCCCTTTGACTTCAATGGAGTTACTCCTGATTGATAGTTGGGTGAGCAAGAGGGGAATCAGCCCCACCGACACCAACGGAGTTATTCCTAATTTACACCATGATGAGTAAGAGGGGAATAAGCCCCACTGATTCCAGTTGTGTTACTCCTGATTTGCACCAAGGTGATGAGAAGGGAATGAGCCCAAATGATTATAGAGCATTGCACAGTGAAGTTTATTATGTGGACTTCCCTATTGAGACTCAATGCCCCCAGGAGCTCAGTCCATATCAACCCCTACTGCTGCCTCTGTGTTATTACCAGAATTGGTCACTCCCACTGAGATTTCCATAGGCTTCTAAGTGAGTTATATGCCCAGTGCTCAGACTTCCAAAGGGAATTGGCACCTAACTCCCCTAAGCCCCTTCAAAAACTACAACCTCAGTGAGTATCAAATAGATAAATTCAGAGGTCATAGGGGGAAATAGTATTCGCATTACAGAAGTGGAGAATTAGGGCATAAAGCTTATAGCCAAAATGTGCAGACTTCATAAATGAATGCTGCGGAGCCTGATGCCTTTGAAAATCAGACTTTGTTTATTTAGGCCTTTCAGCAGCTATTTAAGTGCCAATGCTTAGCACCCAAAGGTGTGGAAAAGTTACTGTTTAAGGTTCCTCATCAGAGAACTAGGGATAGCAATATTCCTGCTTCTCTGTGTAGAGCTGATGATGCTGTACAATGTTAGGCAAGTGTTATACCCCTTCTATAAAACCATCTCCATTATATTTGAGGCCCTGAGAGGAGTGAAAAATATTAAGGTAATTCAAAAGAAGAGCTGGGAATCCAACTCAGACATTTCCTCCCTTCCAAACACTCTAGTGAGGCCACTGGGGCCAGATTTTTAAAGGTATTTAAGTGCCAAGTGAGATTTTCAAAAGCACCTGGACTCCTAAAACTCACTGATTTCAATGGGAGGTCCTTTTGAAAATACCACTAGATGCCTAAATACCTTTAAAAATCTAGCCTTTGGCCTTCCAGCTCATGAGTAACATTGGGTACCAAACTATAGTAAATAATTCCTCACCAGTCTTGGACAATGGACGATTTGGGTGAGGAATGTAGCAAATATCTTCTGATCCCTACTGTTCCAAATGATCAATTAATGTTTCTGAGCACTCATCCCATATTAAACCAACTTCTTACCGTACGGGGTGAACGGGGATTTTCTGCATAGAATCCTAGAATATCAGGGTTGGAAGGGACCGCAGGAGGTCATCTAGTCCAACCCCCTGCTCAAAGCAGGACCAATCCCTAACTAAATCATCCCAGCCAGGGCTTTGTCAAGCCTGACCTTAAAAACCTCTAAGGAAGGAGATTCTGCAGACTAAATAATCCCAGTTCCCTCAGCCTCTCCTCATAAATAATGTGCTCCAGCCCCCTAATCATTTTTGTTGCCCTCTGCAGGACTCTTTCCAATTTTTCCACATCCTTCTTGTAGTGTGGGGCTCAAAACTGGACACAGTACTCCAGATGAGGCCTCACCAATGTCGAATAGAGAGGAATGATCACGTCCTCGATCTGCTGGCAATGTTCCTATTTATACAGCCCAAAATGCTGTTAGCCTTCTTGGCAACAAGGGCACACTGACTCATAACTGAATAGCTCATGTTATTCCACAATTGCCTTCTGCAGTTTTGTTTGTAGAGCTGGTTGGAAATTTTTTTTCCTTAATGGAAAATTTTGACTTTTTTGTGAAAAATCAGAAACTGAAATATTTTGGCTGAAAACCAAAACAGTTCAGTTCAGAAATGTTGCCATAGTGCCTCAT